TCAAACCTTAACTTTGCACAAACATATTTGCCCATGATCTTAGAACATGATGATTTTCACAACATCATAAGAGATTAGAAACATACCTTGATCCATGATGATACATCATAAAAATGGATTTCTTCATTTCGTGATACTAAGCACATCACCGCGTTTCCAATTCGAATAGGGACAAGAAATTAGGGGAAATGTGGTAGATGGGGAGGAACAAGAAATGCGAGCAATTGCGAGAAATTTGGGAACATGCTACTTACTTGGTGGTGAGCTTGCTTTCACACAGGTTCTCGCTCCTACCGAGTGTGGCTATGTGGAGCCAAGAGTGGCCGTCCACAGCAACATGTAGGCTTTTCAATCTTTCTACGTGGGTGTCTTTCAGGGCCTAATCTACCTGGGACATGAGTCTCTTGATTCCCATTGTTCCCACGATCAGTGATGAAGATGTAAGTTCAAACAACTCTATACAAATCAAACCTTAACTTTGTACAAACATAATTGCCCATGATCTTAGAACATGATGATTTTCACAACATCATAAGAGATTAGAAACATACCTTGATCCATGATGATTTATCATAAAAATGAATTTCTTCCTTTCGTGATACTAAGCACATCACCGCGTTTCCAATTACAAATAGGAACAAGAAATTAGGGGAAATGCAGTAGATGGGGAGGAATAAGAAATGCGAGCAATTGCGAGAAATTTGGGAACATGCTACTTATTTGGAGGTGAGCTTGCCTTCACACAAGTCCTTGCCGCTGCCGAGTGCGGCTATGTGGAGCCAAGAGTGGCCGTCCACAGCAACACGTAGGCTTTTAAATCTTTTTACGTGGGTGTCTTCCAAGGCCCAATCTACTTGGGACACGAGTCCCTTGACTCCCATTGTTCCCATGATTAGTGATGAATATGTAAGTTCAAACAACTCTATGCAAATCAAACCTTAACTTTGCACAAATATAATTGCCCATCATCTTAGAACATGATGATTTCACAACATCATAAGAGATGAGAAACATACCTTGATTCGTGATGATCCATCATAAAAATGGATTTCTTCCTTTCGTGATACTAAGCACATCACCGCGTTTCCAATTACGAATAGGGACAAGAAATTAGGGGAAATGCGATAGATGGGGAGGAACAAGAACTAGATTTTTCCTAAAGGTTGTTGACCTTCGTTTTTGCTTATTATTATCCCCTTCTTTATGCGCTGCTAGCAACTCCATGCTTTCAACTGACTACTTTGACGGCTGATGAAATTACAGTTGTCTTTTTGTCTATTGTTTCTAACCGATCGAGGCATGTCCTTTCATACATGTTTATAGTAAAGCCCAGTTGAAAGAAAGCTTGGAGGCATATACTTCCCTAAATGTTTGGCGGATACATCCCCGGACCTTTGATATCAGATTTTTCGACGCTTGACATGTGCTCGTTCCCACTGTCAACTATTTATATCTCAGTTGCTCTTATAGTGCCACTGAAGCCTCCGTGACTTTAACAGTCGTCTGAAGGTCTAGTGAATGCTACTCCTGAGACATCTTGGTTGATCTTCCTATTCTTTGAGTGTAATTTTATGGAGCTCCATATGTATTGTGGATCTGTAGACTCGAGAGAGCAACTTATCCTTCAGTATGTAGTCAGTGGAACGATCATGACCGGATGTAGTGGACGTCTTATTTAGAATGTAGATCACTAGAATGGCCTCTGATTATACTTCATCTACTTTCACACCGAATGTCAATTGTTAAGCGTGTTCAGCAAAGAGGACTGCCCTACTCGGTGAAACTTCACCCTTATTATCACCGACCCGATGACAGTATGGGTTCTCTGGGAAATCTTAAGATATCTGTATCAGAATGCGAATGGGAGATTGCATTCATAGTAGTGTTAATGTGCTCCACACAATCTTATGTTGTATAATGTCGTGACCTACGGATTTGAATGCCCTGTTCGGAGATGGTATTGGACCTATTATAGCTTCATCCTCTTCATTCACAAGCCAAGAGATCAATTTATAATGAGAACGTATCAATTCGGGTGCCAAGGCCGGCGGATCAAACGTTGCAAAACCCCCTGTATTTTGCCCATGTGTCATTCTTGTAGATTGGTTGTATGACTCTTGTGATATCTAATGATTAAAAGACTCCGTTTACAATTGTCTTCATGTCACTTCCTTATCATCACTGACTAAAACAAATGAGATCCACTCTGATTAATTTGCAAAAAGCATGTCGTGAGTGTAATGTGTTATTTTTTGTTGGATTATCTTGGGAAAATTGTCTAAAAAGTAGTAAATCTATTGCAGTTTTGCTAATGGAGTTCTAAACCTTTCAATTTTGTTAATTGAGTCATAAACCTTTTTGACAATTTACCAATTGAGTTCATCTGACCAATTTTGTCGGAATATCTGACATGGGTGTCGGCTGTCTGATGTGGGTGCACGTGGCACGGCCAGCGATGGCATTTTAAATAAATTTTTTGAATATTTTTATGGTTTTTTTTCCTTTTCTTTATTATTTTGGTTTTTGGAGTGATGGCCAGCGAGGGCCACCAATCCCTTGCCTTGCCACGGCGAGGGCTGCAAGCCTTCGCCTACTGGCCGGTGACCATCGCCGGCCATCACTATAAAAACCAAAAAAAAAAAGTAAAGAGAAGAAAAAAATTTTAAAAAAATCATTACAGAAGTCAAATAATTATTAAAATATTATTAAAAAATGTCCAAATTAGTGCTGGCCGGCGTCCATGTTAGAAATTTCCGGCCAAAATTGGCCGGATGGACTCAATTGGCAAATTATCAAAAAATTTATGATTTAATTGGCAAAATCAAAAGGTTTATGACTAAATTGACAAAAGTGAAATAGACTTAGGATTTTTTGGACAACTTTCCTGAATATCTTGCATATATTTGTCCGAGTTGTTATTGCACTCCTTGATACGTATACTAAATTATATTCGGACCGCTAGATTTGGTGAGAGCTCCCATTTTGAATGGTCTAAATTAAATTTAATAAATCTACTAGGTTTGTGCGAAAAAAATCCCCTCCATGAATTAATCTAAAAAATAAAAGATTGGGGGTCATAGGTCGAGAATTTTGAATTGCAACTTCAATTTATATGAATAATATGGACATTTTTAGGAAAAAAACAAATATTGATGTATTATTTATTCCATTTTTTGATAATTAGTTACCGATGCAAGGAAATATAATGTGTGTGATAGAGTCCAACACCACGCACACTATGTAAGATAAGGCCTCAACTTCAAATGTATGCCAAAATACCTCTTTTTAATTAAAATGAGAACTTTTGACCCAAAAAAAATGAAAATAAGAACTTCAACCAAAAAAAAAAAATGAAAATAAGAACCGCAATTAATCACTCAAATTTTGTGCGAATTTGATTTAGGTAAGAGGAAGCTTGGTTCTACTCACTCCACGCTACGGTTGTCTTAATTGAGCATTGTTCGAATCGGTTCACACAAAGCTTTAATTGAAAATCCTCTCGTGTAATGTCAAATCAAAACATCCGATTACGCTTTCAGGTCCTTTTTTTTCTTTAAATGTATTTTAGTATTGAATCGATCTTATTAATGCATTCTCTCTTGATTAAGCGATGTTGAAAGTTATTATTCATACGACCCTTTTCTTTTTCGGCTCAGCACTTTCAAAAAAAGAAATCATAATCAGCTTGAAACTAGTGACCAAATTCTGACCTGACCAAAAAAAAATTAATGGACCAATCGAAAATGGAAGAGCACGTGATCTCCCCCAAAAGAGAAAGGAAACCAAAGAAAAAACCGCCAAATTCGGAAGAACAGTGATTGCGAGACCAAAAAAGCATTTTCCATGGAATGATAATGTCTGAAAAAACCGACACACGTGGCACAATCGTAATTCTCATCATCTCTCTCTGTCTCTCTCTCTCTCCGAGTCACTTGATGCGCGCAGCTTGGATTCTTCGTACGCGGCGTCGATGGCGGAGGAGAGATTCGCTTGTCTCAACGCTTGAACGCGAGCACCTCGCATTCACTCCGTCGTCTCCGGGCTTCGCCAATATCCTCGGAGCTGGTCGGTGTTGTCTGAGCCCGCTCTGATTCGGGTAAAGCAAGGAAATCTTTGTCCGGTGGCACCATCGGCCGCTTCAGTTTCGGCAGTTTCGTTTTCTTGTTTTTACTCGTGTTTTTTTTCTGTTGGGGGCTGTTTTCATTTGATCGTGTTTATGCGTTAGATCTTGTGTTGGGCTCGTGCTTTGAGGAGCTTTCTAATGCATACATGTCAACTTGGGATGGAGTAGTTCTTGTTTGATTGAGGAATTTTTTATGTGGGTTCTTTCGTGGGAATCGGACCACCAATGGAATGGCGCGAATTTTGGGACTTCTGACTAGGGCTGCGGCGGCGTGAGGGACATCGCGGTGTTGGATGATGGGTGTCTTTGGAAAATCTAGTGCAGCTTATGCGATTTTCCGTCGAGTGCGTAGTTTTTTTTTTTTCTCCCGGCCGTTGTCTTAATTTTCTTGGCGGCCGCTGTTCAGTACCATCTCCCGTTTGCTTGCTTTAATTTCGGCTTGCCGGATGTTTGTTAGAGGAGGAACTAGTGGAATTCCTGCCTTTTGGACGCTTCTCCTTTTGCCTTTTTCTTTATTTTCTTTATTTTTTTTTGGTTTTCATACCATTGCCTTTTGGACCTTCATCTTCGTTTCGTGTCTGAGATAATTGATATTAACAAAAAAAAAACTAATGCTTATCCAATTGAAAAGCGCCAAGTCTAAATATGAATGCAAACTGCTATATAAATCATAATTGTTCATTTGCAAACCCTAGCGAATGACTTAAAATCCTTTCCAAGAAAAGTTCTCTCTCGTTATCATTCTCTTTTTTCCTTCGTAACATAATCGTAAAGGGATTTCAAACCTCTTCAATTGAATTAAACATAACAAAAGGCAGGAACTTTGACAATATTATTATGTTTTATATTTCAACGTTTTTAATACAAAGGTAACAAGGTCGTTGTAGTATAGTGGCAAGTATTCCCGCCTGTCACGCGGGAGACCCGAGTTCAATCCTCGGCAGCGACGCTTCTCCATTTACCTTTTTCTTTATTTTCTTTATTTTTTTCGATTTTTATCTCATTGCCTTTTGGACCTTCATCTTCGTGTCTGAGATCATTGATATTTAAAAAAAAAAACTAATGCTCATCCAATTGAAAAGCGCCAAGTCTAAATATGAATGCAAACTGCTATATAAACCATAATTGTTCCTTTGCAAACCCTAGCGAATGACTTAAAATCCTTTCCAAGAAAAGTTCTCTCTCGTTATCATTCTCTTTTTTCCTTCGTAACATAATTGTAAAGGGATTTCAAACCCCTTCAATTGAATTAAACATAACAAAAGGCAGGAACTTTGACAATATTATTATGTTTTATATTTCAACGTTTTTAATACAAAGGTAACAAGGTCGTAGTATAGTGGCAAGTATCCCCGCCTGTCACGCGGGAGACCCGAGTTCAATCCTCGGCAGCGACGCTTCTCCATTTACCTTTTTTCTTTATTTTTTTCGATTTTTATCTCATTGCCTTTTGGACCTTCGTCTTCTTGTCATAGATAATTGATATTAAAAAAAAAAAAAAAACTAATGCTCATTCAATTGAAAAGCGCCAAGTCTAAATATGAATGCAAACTGCTATATAAATCATAATTGTTCCTTTGCAAACCCTAGCGAATGACTTAAACTCCTTTCCAAGAAAAGTTCTCTCTCGTTATTATTCTCTTTCCTTCTTCGTAACATAATCGTCAAAAGGATTTCAAACTCCCTTCAATTGAATTAAACATAACAAAAGGCAGGAACTTTGACAATATTATTATGTTTTATATTTCAACGTTTGTAATACAAAGGTAGCAAGGTCGTTGTAGTATAGTAGCAAGTATCCCTGCCTGTCACGCGGGAGACCCCGAGTTCAATCCTCAGTAGCGACGCTTCTCATTTTGCCTTTTTCTTTATTTTCTTTATTTTTTTTCGGTTTTTATCCCATTGCCTTTTGGACCTTCATCTTCGTGTATGAGATAATTGATATTTAAAAAAAAAAAACTAATGCTCATCCAATTGAAAAGCGCCAAGTCTAAATATGAATGCAAATTGCTATATAAATCATAATTGTTCCTTTGCAAACCCTAGCGAATGACTTAAAATCCTTTCCAAGAAAAGTTCTCTCTCGTTATCATTCTCTTTCCTTCTTCGTAACATAATCGTAAAGGGATTTCAAACCTCTTCAATTGAATTAAACATAACAAAAGGCAGGAACTTTGACAATATTATTATTGTTGTAAAATATTGCGTTGCAAGAATATAATAGAGAGAATAGAGAGAGATTAAGTAGAGAAAGTAGATAAGCACCAAAAATGGTAGAGAAAGTCAGAGGAGAAATTTTATTTTCACTGTATATTTTCCTATTTCATTCTCTTCTTCTGTTCTAATTTTTTACACAATGACCAAAACTAAGCTCCTATTTATAAGAAAACAAGGATGCATATATCATTAATGTCAATGTATTGAATATATACATTGAATAAGGAGATAGGCATTCATTGGAGATGTACGTAGAATGTAGGTTACAAATGTACCATAATAGGTACATTGAATATAATGAATATTCATTCATGTATTTCATAACACTCCCCCTTGAATATTCATTGTATTCATGAATGTGCATTGAATGATACTGCCTCATTAAAAACCTTAAGCCGGAAAAACCAGTGAGACAAAAACCGGACAAAAGGGAAAAAGAGTACAGAGTACAAATTTTATGATCTCTCCCTTTTATGGATGCATTAATTGCCTCATTAAAAACCTTAAGCCAGAAAAACCCAATGGGACAAAAACCGGACAAAAGGGAAAAAGAGTGCAATGCATAGTTCACAATATCTCCCCCTCAATTTGAGCTATATAGCCACTGCTGGGGCTAGTCAATCTTGCATCTTATGAACTCGCCGCATACCAATGCCATATACTAATTTCTCAAAAGTTGACGTTGGCAATGATTTGGTAAAAAGATCTGCAAGATTATTTATGGATTGAATCTGCTTAACATCAATTTGTCGACTTTCTTGGAGTTCGTGAGTATAGAAAAATTTTGGCGAGATATGCTTGGTCCTATCACCTTTGATATATCCTTCCCTAACTTGTGCAACACAAGCAGCATTATCTTCATAAATTATAGTGGGAGAATTTGTAACCGGTGTTAAACAACAAGAATTGTGAATATGTGTTATAACGGATCTTAACCAAACACACTCTCTTCCAGCTTCATATAAAGCAATAATCTCAGAGTGGTTAGAAGATGTAGCTACTAGCGATTGCTTCGTAGAACGCCAAGAAATGGCATTGCCGTTAAAACAAAATAAATAACCGGTTTGAGAGCGAGCTTTATGTGGATCAGATCTATATCCAGCATCAGCATATCCAACTAAACCAGAGGTAGTGGAATCCTTAGAATAATATAATCCCAAATCTATGGTTCCTCGGAGATAACGAAAAATATGTTTAACTCCATTCCAGTGTCTCCGAGTTGGCTCAGAACTAAAACGTGCCAATAAATTTACCGCAAAAGCGATATCTGGTCTCGTACATTGTGCCAAGTACATCAAAGCCCCGATTGCATTGAGATATGGTACATCAGGACCAAGTATCTCTTCATCAGATTCTCTAGGACGAAACGGATCCTTTTGAGGATCTAGAGACCTTACAACCATAGGAATGCTCAATGGGTGAGCATTGTCCATGTTGAAGCGTTTAAGTAATCTTTCAATGTATGCTGATTGATGGACGATTATTCCATTTGCTTTATGCTCAAGCTCTAGACCAAGACAAAGTTTGGTTTTACCCAAATCTTTAACTTCAAATTCCTTTTTCAAATACTCAGCAGTTTTAGCTAACTCTTCTGGAGTTCCAATTAAATTTATATCGTCGACATAAACTGCTACAATAGCAAATCCGGTTTCTGATTTCTTAATAAACACGCATGGGCAGATAGGATCATTCTTGTACCTTTCCTTAATTAGGTACTCACTTAGGCGTTGATACCACATGCGACCGGATTGCTTTAACCCGTACAAAGATCTTTGCAATTTTATTGAGAATAAGTTGCGGGGAGTGCATGCATCAGGCATTTTGAATCCCTCGGGAATTTTCATATAAATATCCGAGTCTAATGAGCCATATAGATATGCCGTCACAACATCCATAAGACGCATTTCCAATCTTTCAGAGAGTACTAGGCTAATGAGAAAACGAAATGTAATCATATCCATCACAGGTGAATATGTCTCATCATAATCAATCCCAGGTCTCTGGGAGAATCCTTGGAAAACGAGTCGGGCTTTATACCTAACAACCTCGTTTTTCTCATTTCGTTTCCGGACAAATACCCATTTATATCCAACGGGCTTTACATTATCTGGGATGCGAGTTATGGGTCCAAAACCTCTCGTTTGGCTAGGGAAGCCTTAATTGCTTCCTCCCATTTAGACCAATCATGCCTTTGACGACATTCGATAATAGATTGCGGCTCACAATCATCATTCATAATTTTATGAGCAACTGAGAATGCAAAAGCATCATCAATGATGATTTCATTCCGATCCCAAATCTCATTACAATATGTAATGGGATTCTCAGTATTCCCAGGGTTGGTGATCTTTTCATGGGTTTGTGCCTCTTCAGGGGCAATAAGCTCTTTGGGAGCAAGCACAACACCAGGCTCTTCTGGAGCAGATTCCTGATTCCTTCCCCTTCGTTTTCGAGGAACAGTGTCTTTTGATCCTATCGGTCTACCGCGTTTCAAGTGTGGGGGATTTTGATCCATTTTAGCTTGTCCTTCGGGAACAGCTATCCTAGCTGGAGCATTTGCAGCTGGAATATGAGACTTCGTTACCTTAGTAGCATCATTAAATGCATCAGGAAGTCTATTAGTTATAGCCTGTAAATGGATTATGCGCTGCACCTCGTTTTCACACTTAGGAGTTCTTGGGTCTAATTGAGATAAATTTTTCTCATTCCAGGAGAAAACCTTAACTGGTTTTTGCTTCGCAGCCATGTCAGTTTTAGGTGTCCCAATCTATGGAAACATAGTCTCATTGAAATGACAATCTGCGAATCTGGCAGTAAAAAGATCACCAGTGGTCGGTTCCAAGAACCTAATGATGGACGATGAATTAAACCCAACATAAATGCCCAAACGGCGGTGGGGACCCATTTTCGTTCTTTTTGGCGGTGCTATAGGCACCTGTACTGCACAACCAAAGGTGCGTAAATGTGAAATATCAGGTTCATAACCAAGAACCATTTGAAGGGGAGATTGTATGAGACTAGTAGTGGGGCGCAATCTTATCGTGGCTGCGCATGCAAACCGCATGACCCCATGCTTTGTATCGTTGAGATTTGTTCTCAATAATAGAGTGCGGGCAATGATTTGGATATGTTTAATCAAGGATTCTGCTAATCCATTTTGAGTATGAACATATGCGACCGGGTGCTCAATCTCGATTCCAAGTGAAGCACAATACGTATCAAAACTCTTTGATGTAAATTCACCAGCATTATCCATCCTTATGCTTTTAATTGGATAATCAGGGAATTGTGCCCGGAGCTTTATAATCTGCGCAAGTAAACGTGCAAATGTGACATTGCACGTAGATAATAGACAAACATGTGACCATCTACAGGATGCGTCCACTAGTACCATAAAATATCGAAATGGTCCACTTGATGGTTGTATTGGTCCACAAATATCACCCTGAATTATTTGCAGGAATAAAGGGGATTTAAGATCAACCTTTGTTATAGAAGGTTTGATAATGAGTTTTCCTTGTGAACAAGCTTCACAATTATAATCTTTGGACAACAATACCTTTGTATCCTTTAAAGGGTGCCCTTTTGTATTCTGGATTATTCTACGCATCATTGAAGCGCCAGGGTGACCAAGGCGATCATGCCATAATCCAAACTGATCAGGGTTTACCAATCTCCAGGATATGGTGGCGCAGGTTTCAACGGCCTTAATCATGACACAATACAAACCCA